CAGAGGGATTCAGAGCTGGCAGTGTTAAGTATTATTGTGTTTTTAGGTCCTTCACTATAGTATAAGCTTAATGAATGTATTGTGTAGAATGACAAATAGGTAGTATTAAATTTTTTAAAATCTAATATCTGAACTCAGATCCATGTTCTGTACCCTGTTGGTGTTGTTAATGATGGGATGGGAGTTTTATTTTAGGAAGACAGCAGTTGCTGTAATAAATCAGACAGATGGTCCCTGGTGTCCAGTATGTCTTGCCTCTGTGAGCAGCTCTGAGCAGGTGCTTCAGTAGAAGGTGCAAAAATCTCTATATTGGACTTATGTGGAATAACCTGCCCAAAAGGGAAGCTTCTTTGATTGCTTTATTCTCTGAATGAAACATGAGGTTTTATGTATCTACTCAGAATTTTTAAATTATCTCTAATGTAACCATGAATACTCTTGTAATCTATATAAATGGCAAAGCCTTTTTTGAATCTTAGTAAGCCTTGGGCCTCAGTTACATCCAGTGGCAATGAGTTCCACAAGTACATAACATACTGTTCAAATGTCTTTCTTTTTCTGCCTTTGAATTTCCATCATCAAATCTCTTAACCAAGAATTAAACTACTGGCAGTATATAAATGATGCATTAAATCATTCCTAAGATATACAGAGTTTCCATTTTTTTACATTAGTATGTTGAGCCTGGAGCACTTGAGAAAACAGTATGATGCTGAGTGGGAGACATTAGGAGACACATTTTATGCTGCCAAAGAAAGAATGAAAAAAAATTAATACAGAAGTGAACTATGTAGAAACAGTGGCAGTTGTGAATTCATCACTCCAAACTGCCTTCCTGCCCTTAACTCACCTTACGCAGCCTGTGGATAGAGCATCATGCACTGTACATATGGTCACTGCAATACCCATGCATGGTAGGGAGAATTAAAGAGGGAACTTGGCATGCTTAGCATTGAATTTCCTTTCTCTGTCTGGGTTTGTCAGACCTTTTACATTACTGTAAGAATTATTTTTGTCTGTAAGTAGAGATGCATTCATACATCCTGTGAAGCAGTTTGGCAAATAGTCAGTCATTCTGCACAATCGGTATTTGAAAATGTAGTGGTTACTGGTTCATATTCGATTTTACCTTATTTTTTCTATGGTTGGGAAAAACGTTGACTAATCAAGATTAAGGGCTTTTTTGTCTTTTATGAAATGCTAATGATGCAGACATGTTTGATATACTGTGAAATACATTTCTCTAATTTGAAGTTTCTGCTTTTTGTCGGGAAAGAGATGCAGTCCCTGGAGGATTTTAGAATTTGTAAATATAAAATTATCTGCTTCAGTGTTTTTCAAAAAAAAAGGTTGGCAGAAAGCCAGATTACTTACATTACTGTAATAGATTTGCTGACCTCTGACATTTGTTGCAGAGAAGTACATTGAATTTTTCATAATATGAGACGATGCAAATCTAAAAACTCGGTACACTCTGCACCATTACTTAATTCAGGACTTAGAAAAGCAAAATCTCTTTAGAATAGCAATTTATACGTGATTAAACTTAATATCAACAATTGTAATAAATCAGGATTAGTATATTCCTGATTTGTTAATCTAACTTGTATTGATTTTAAGTTGTCTTTATTTAAAAAAAAAAAAAAGTCTTGCTTTTCACAGTGACTGAATTTAATAAGAAGCTCTGTGATAGCAGAGACGCAAAGACTCCCCTACTGTTTCTGCTCTTGGCTGGAAAATGTTATTCTTGTTTTATTCCAAGAAAAAAAACCTCATGCTGCTAAAAATCTGCTGCCTGTGGAAAGATTTTTTTAATACACTGCTGCTTAAATTTTCTGTTTATGTTAATTGACTTATAAATAATACATTTTATTAATCTTAATATTGGAATCTTGATCATGATAAAGACCCTATTATTTGCTCTGCTTTAGAGGCAAATATCCTTTAGAGCACAAAATATTCCTTTAATTTTTCTTATAAATATTTGGTACTTCCCCCAGAAAACACAGCTCTGCTTCCAAGCAACTGAAAATATGCCTGTTGTTCCCAAATTTTAATGTATTCTAGGTATTCAGTTGTATTTTTGAATGTTGTCTTTACCCACACTTGTATAAGGATTGATTAAATCTTAGCTGTGCTGCAAATATTTAACAAAAATCATGTGCTAGTTTCGAACATGTTACATTCTGCTAAGCTATTTGTATAATAGAGAACCACATTCTTCCTGTGTTGGGCAATGATGACCTTAAATTGGCTAAGTACATTGTGTGTTGATGGCATATTAGCTGCATGTTTAAAATGTTCTGAAAACTATATTAGCTTTATTACTCTTGTACTATAAAAACGTCTAATAATCAAATGATAAGATCATATCCTGTGGGTAATTGTGTTGTACCATGACAGGATAACTGAAAAAACATTCAGTGAAAATTGTAACAAACGGAAATCTCTATATGAAGCAGCAATTGTTCATGGTGTTAGGCTTCATGTTAATCCCTAGAGCCTCACAGTGCATATTCATGCATACTTCCTTTTTTCTCCCCCCCACCCTCTGAAAATTATCTTTGTACTCTAGAGAAGCAGCCGAGCATTGGCCTTTATTTAAAAAGAAAAAAAATCCTAGAACAAGCCATCCTTGTGTTTTGATTCAGTTTTACCTTAGTCATGCCTCTTTCCAGATACAAGAAACATTTAATTCCAGATTTCCTGCTGTTGGCTCTAGGCCTTTGACCAGCTATGTGAAATGTATTTTTACTGCTGTCTTATTGCCAACTGCTGAGCTCAGTGAAAAATAACTAAAATGAAAATGTTTTACTCCCACATGAACTCTAAAGATTATAACAGGAAATTTAAGCCATGGTTACTAATTAGTACCAAATCTAATGAGTTCTGGTGTGGTGTATTGCAACAAAGAGGAGAAGCTTTTTGTCAGAAATTGCCATAAAAGGATCCAATGAAAGAATGCTAACAGTGATTAATCTTGTCAGTCCCAGCCTTGTTCCCATTTCTGCTTTAACCAGAAGGTTAATCACACAGTATCTTTTATTAAAAGGACCACTAGTGGTACAGTATGATCTTTATCTCATTTAGAGCTAGGAACAGCTATTGAAACATTTACTGATGGAATATGTAGATTTCAAAAGGATGGCATGTTCCCATGGAAACAAAACAAAGTCAAACAATCCAGTTGCAGGGCTAGCAATTATTGCAATAAAATGTGTTTTTATTAAATGTAATTTTAAACATTTACACATGGCAGAAAGATATAAATATTGCCCTGTATGAAACCAAAACTTACCTCTCTCGTATAAAGTCCCAAGCAGTGCACATAGCACAGGGAGATGTTAAGTGGTTCATGAATATTTGTGCTTGACAAATGAAATTTGGCCACCTCAAGTATGAACAAGAGTATTTTTTTCTTATTCTGCTTAGTTATGTTTTTTATTATATAAACATTAACTGTAATATTACAGTGGGAAGCAGGTATTTGGCAACTATATATTATTTTGCTAAGTCTGCACAGAGGGAGCAGTTTCCAGTTTTAGCAGCTGTAACATGTTTAAACTCAGTTTGTAATGGGATCTGAAGATGAATATTCCCTGTGGGCTCTGCTTAGCTTCATTACTGGAGCGCTGCCAAATTCAGGGCTAGAAAGTATTATTCACGCCTCTTTGCACATACCATGTCAGAGCATGCTCAGTTAATGAATTTTGTTTCTAATATGGCATAAATTAGCTTTATATTTTAACATAATTTATGTTGTATTTTATTAAAATGTGAAATATTATGATCACAAGCAATCTAATTTCTGTTCTCTGAAGTCCAAACCGTGTTTGAACATCTAAGTATTTAAATCAAAATTGCATGGTTAGAAACAGATTCTAGGATAACAAACGAATATCTGAACCAAAGAGTTTTTTGCCTTGGAGTCTTAGATTAAAGATAATTAAGGATTCCCGGTATTTGAACAGATTTATGTTGTTTATAAGCAAAGTACATTTTCTTCATAGAGTCAACTTGTCTTTTTTTTTATAGACAAATTATGTTTGCTGCATTAAAGTTCATATTTTTAAAGTCAGAGCCTTGCATTAATCCCACAGTGAGTCATTAATCATACCAAATGCATTATAAAAACTTTAATCACTGAAGTTGAAACTGAGATTGTAATGCAATCCATCCCTTTTAATTACATCAGTTATTTTTCCTTTCAGATCAAGAGCTACATTGAGAAGAAAAAACAGATAGATTAAAACTCACACTGTTTGATGTGTGGGGTTTTTTTTAAAGCGATTTTATACACTTTGTTCAAGAAAGTTCCACAATTAAAATTCTTTCATTTTTAAATCCCCTTCATTTTCTTTGCTGTCTTCCCTCCATTAGCAGCTCCCCCAAATCTCTTGTCCTTCTATAGGCAAAAATAACCTAGTGCAAGGGTCAACGTAACTTTCACTTTACAGACTTATCAGAAGGAGCTAGCATAACTCTTCTGCACCAATCCTTATAAATTGGGGAAAATCATGTCTCCTCTCCTCTCTACCAAGTTTCCAGTCTTCAGACAAATTAATATACAACCCAAATGTGTCCTACCAGACTGCAAGTACCTATATGTGCTATCAAGTTTTTCTTCATCTTTATCCTGTGTTACTGGCATTCACTCCATAAGATTGTGAGTAGGCAGAGAAAATTAAAAGAAAAGGTTGACTATGAAATCAACCTAAAACACTGTAGGCTAGATCCTCAGATGGTGTATCGATGTAGCTTCATAAACCCACATAGCTCTATTGATATCAATGAAGCCACATCAATTTATACCAACTGTGGATCTTGCCAAGTAAGTTGATTTATCATACTTGAGCTTAAATATTTAGGGCAAGTTTACAAAATTGCTTTTATGTCATAGAAAAAATTGATTTATTAAATAAACTGTTCATAGCTGATACATTTTTCTTCTTTGCTAGAATTGCAAAAACTGATAAATTGTTTGTTCCTTAATCCGTTAGATTAATCCTGCCATATGAAAGATTTATTAAAGGAGAAGAAGATAAGCCACTGCCTCCATTGAAACCTCGGAAGCAGGATATCAGTTCCCAGGAGGGGGAAACTAAAACAAAAGTGGCTGGAACAAAACGCATCAAAAATGAAAACCAAAAGAATAAGAAAGAAAAAGATAATGCACAGAAACCCCAAGATGCAGCTGAGGTTAGTTGCTTTCCCTCTTTGTAACTTTTCAATTAAAAATGTACTGTTTGAATCACTTAAAATCCAGTGATAAAATATATCATTTAAACTTGAGAATTCCAAAAATAATTGGCTTTTCAGTTTGCTCAGTAGCTGAAATCCAATTGTGATGTCCCTGTGTGTTGTGATTATGCTGGACTATAAACAGGGACCAGTGAGTTCCATACTGTGTAGAAGTGATAGCAGGATACCAAGACTGGATGTAAGAGGTACAGTTTCTGTTCATTGTATTATAAAGTGGTCACCATTAAAAAGTCAACAATTGCCAACAGGAAGCTATGCAGCTACCACAGTTATTTCCTAATTTAAGTACAGGGTTAGAGGACCTGTAATACCATTGATAATGCTGTGGTAAGTATTACCGAATTTTAATAGCAACTTCTATAGCAGCACTATTACACAAATGGATGCATTCTCATTTCTATTTTAAAAAAAAGTTTTCCTGGATTTTAAATAGGTCTAAAAATCTGCTTTGGATTGAAACCAAAAATAAAAGGGGCACAGCTCTTATAGTAACTATTCAGACAAATTACCCAATAAAGTCAATGGGAATCTTGCCATAGGCCTCTATTCTTCAAGCTGCTTCACATTGACAGATTCCCCTGCCAAGACTTGGTACCATAGGTAGGGCTCAATACAGAGCCCATCCCTTGTGGAGTTGCGTATTAGGGCTGTGCAAAGCTTCGGTCGCTGATTCATTTCAGAGTAGATTTGGCTCGATTCGGCAGCAGAATCTCCGAACCTGAATTGAATCAGGAGTCCCATTAATCTCTCCAAATCAAATCAGAAGCCTCTGATTTGATTCAGAGAGGTTCGACAATTTGTCCATAGACACAGGTTTATATGTTTTTTCTACTTACCTCAAGGTACCAGGTGCAGCTTGTGAACACTGAGATAGTGGGGCGGATGGAGCATTCCACGGGAGCACAGGCAGGGCGGGAGCCGCGAGCTTGGCAGCAGATCTGGAAGTAGACCAGAAGTACTTCCAGTCCACTTCTGGGTCCACTGTGGAGCATGTGGGGGACCCCCACCCCCCACACTCCTGTGAGATGCTCCATCCACCCTACCATCTCAGCGTTCACGAGCTATGCGTGGTACCTCAAGGTAAGTCGACAAAACATATAAAGCTGTGTCCATGGCCAAATTGCTGATTCTCCAGATCAGAATCTGAATCTTCAGATTCAGTGTCTGCTGAATTGAATTATTGTCCCCCAAATCAGGCTGAATACAAATCCAAATCAAATACGGCCCACTTCACACACCCCTATTCCTTATATGATTAGGGCCTGTAATAAGATGGGCCTGTAATAAGATAGACCTAAGGACTCAGTTGAACTCATATATATCTGGAAATAATGCTATTTACTAATGTGCACATTACATTGAATTTTCAGAATCTGTAGAGTGACAAAAAAAAAATCAATGGGGCTTGTGCGCTTACATTACTTAAGAACTTTCTTTTGAAACACACGCCTATTCTCAAGCATGCAATGCTGTTGAAATGTACTACACATTGCAAAATGTACTGTGACAGACAAGTATAGTGTGAAAATAAGCATTTAAAAAACATTTATAACATCCATTATGTAGTCAACAGACCATAGTAGTTCCTCTGATGCCATTACTGTCTGGCACATGTATATGAACTGTATTTAAGTGGTTTGAAAAATCTGTTTTGATACAGCTACCAAGAATTCTTCTTTCTATGGCTTAAAAATTGTGAAGTTGATAAATCTCCATGTAGCTGAGACCTCAAATGCAAGGCTTCAAATAGAGTAAATTGTTATAATTATGTTAACTCCCTTTGCCAACCCCCCACACTTCCCCTCCAATTCCCCCTCTCCAAAACTCAGATTTACAATGGGACCAAGAAGAAACTACCTGGTTTAGAATACGTATTTAAAATGACTTGATCCACAGAGCATAAAAGTCTGAACATATCAACCCTTCACAGATAGACCTTCCCTTTTATTTTAATGTTAAAGGAGGAAACTTTGTAGACAAACTTCACTACAAGTTAAAAATACATAAAGGAGAGAGTGCACACAAACCTGCTTAATCAACTGCAAGGTTGTGACACAAATTGCCTAAAGCAATGAAATTCAGAGTTAAGGCTTGCATTCCATTCCTCATTTATCCCTTTGTGCTTACTTAGTTATTATTGCTGGGGTCTCGGATCAGTGAGTTATGTTACATACCATATGTACTGCTAAGCACAACGTAACAAGCCAGCAATAGAGTGTCAGTCTTAACTTTGAATTTCTTTGCTTTTGTTCTTTTGTACTCAAACTTCCTGCTACTTAAACTGAAGTTATTTTTGTGTGGAGAAAGAGTTCTTAGTACTACATATCAAAAATCTGCAGAAAAGAAGCAGAGTACAGACATTAAAATGCACAATAAGAGTTGTTATCTACTGTAATATTTTATCTCCTGTATCAAAATTATTCTCTCCTGTCTGATTATAACTTGGATGTTTTTAAGATTAACAGAGAACCCCACCAGCCAATACTATTTATGAAGCAGTACTGGGGGGACATCATCCCCCATAAACATGTGCAGATTGGCTGTGTACATATGCTAATTATCCTTAGGCTGGATGGGCCGAATACCCAATGTGGGTACTGAAGGAGGACACTTGTTTATAGCAGCTCTGCTCAAGATTTAGCACCTGGAGCCCTTGTAAATCCTGTTTTTCTCCCAGCTGTCAATAAACAGTGCATCCACATTGTGCAAAATGGGGAGGACTCCCTTTCCATGATATTCTTAAGGGACCCACTATTAGGTGGATAAATTATTTAATAGACTTCATCTTTAGAATCTGGTCAGAGTCAATACAACTGCACAGATTCTAGGTAAGTACCTAAATGAAGGGTTTTCCACATCAGGAGTCACTAGCATGTCCATAGCTACAGAGGCAATCTGTGCTGTTTAGATGGTGAGAGTTTTAGGCCAGAGGCTCCTAAATCATGCCCCCGGGATCTGACATGGGAAAAGAAAGCTTAGCTGTACTTAAAGCTCATGGAGAGCCAAGTTTAGCTATAATGGTGTCCAAGGCTAGAGAAGCAGGAGGGATGGAGAAAGAATTAGAGTAGGAGGCTTTGCATCGTTGCAGGCATGTTGAATGTTAATGAGAAAATATGGTATGTTAGGGCCCTGTTATAGGCCGTATTCTGGGTGTAATTTTGGCTAGGGGAGGGGCCGAGTAGCACATCTTAAGGTGTTGGGAAGCCTGGGTTCCCTGGGGACCCAAAACAGGTTCAGAGGTTCTGCATAGACAGTAGGGCTGTGCAAAATTTCGCCGGCTGTTTCAGTTCGACACTGTTTTGAATAATTTCAAGCTCGAAACAGTGAAATCAAATCAAAATGAAGGGCTTCAAAACAGCCTCAAAACAAAACAAAGCTAGTCAAAACATTTCAAAAGTTTTGAAATGTTTCAAAAGTTTCAAAACATCTCAAGTTTCAAAGCCAGCAGTGAGAGACAGGGGAGAACCAGGGCACCAGCAGCGAGCACAGCCATAGTTCTCCCCATCTCCCGCTGCCAGAAGCCGATAACAGCGTGGGAGAAGGGAACTGATCCTGGCTCAGTTCCCCAGCTCAGCTCTGTGATCCAGTGGGGGGAGACGTGGGCAGTGGAGAGTCAGCCCAGCTGCGCTCACTCCCACCCCCCCGTGCTGCAATTGGGTGGGGTGGAGAGTCAGCCCAGCTCAGCTCACTCCTACCCCTGCTCTGCAATCGGGTGGGGGGGCAGAGAGTCAGGCCAGCTCAGCTCACTCCCACCCCCGCACTGCAGTTGTGGAGAAGTGGAGAGTCAGCCCAGCTGTGCTCACTTCCACCCCTCACGTTGCGATTAGGAGCAGGGGAAGAGAGTCAACCCAGCTGTGCTCGCTTTCACCCCCCGTGCTGCAGTCGGGCTGGGGGGCAGAGAGTCAGCCCAGCTGGGCTCCTCCCACCCCCCCAACACTGCAATCGGGAGTAGGGGCAGAGAGTCAGCCCAGCTGGGCTCACTTCCACCCCCCGCACTGCAATCGGGAGAGGGGGCGGAGAGTCAGCCCAGCTGGGCTCACTCCCACTCCCCACACTGTGATCGGGGGAGGAGGTGGAGCCTTTCCATTTCGACGGAATGGAACAGAACAGCTGTTTCGACTAGAAATGAAATTCAAAACAGAATGCTGTTCCATTGAACCATTGAAACTGAAGGCGAAATGGAATGGTGCCATTTCGCACAGCCCTAATACACAGCTCTGCTAACTTGAATATCCCTTTGGATCTTCCTGATCTGGGGGAAGTTAAACTCCACCATATCAGGAGGCTGGCTTTCTGATAGGAAGGCAGTGTTCTGGGGCAGAATTTGGTTTTAATTTATTTGTAACATCAAAGTCAGTATGGTCTGAGTGCAGTCCTTCCAACTGCACTTTCACCACTCGCCTGGATAGAAGTGGGAGTTACACATAGACATCCCTAGGAAAAGACAGAGTTAATGTATTACAGTTTAATTCAGTTTTATTCTCTTCTTTGTTCTGTTAAAGTCCAGTTGCCTAGTGTAACCAAATACAGGACAAAATGTTATTAGCCTCCGACAGAGCACTTCTTTAAAATAGCAAAAACTTCAATCAAACTATTGCTTAGCAGAAACAAAGAGCAGAATGTAGAGTTATTAAATATGATTTGTCCTTTTTTCCTGCTTTGCTCATCTGTCTGGTATTTTCCTGTAATTGTATAAGCTCAAGAGACCAGTGATAGTACTTTGTGAAGGACTAATGATGGTATTTGGATTGAAAAAGGCAGCTATTAGTTAAAAAAAATTGTTACAATGACTAACAGACACTGTAACTAATAGAAAAACCCAACACAGGAATATTTAAAAGCAGCTGTGAAGAAATAAATCTTTAAGATAGTTGTAATTTTTTACATACGTTCCTCCCTCACATGACAGACCATAATGCAGCATTTAGATAATAACTTTCTTGATGCCTCTTATCTTTACAACTAAGAAAGAAAGAAAAAATATTATTATTAAAGGGCTCACACAATGCTGCTGTTTTATGACTTTCTTCTGCTAAGGCATGTCAGAGGTGAATGACAGCAATTTTGAAAAGGGTTGTCAGTCACCTGTATCACAGATGCAACATTATAATGACCTTCAGGGTCACAGTTCATTTGTCTACATAATGGAATGAATAGTGTGAATTGTGCACACATGCTTTATTAATGGAGAAGCATAAAGAGCTGCAGTTTCATTGACTATAACTTATAAAAGCTGTGTTTGTAATACTACACACACACACACACACACACACACACACACACACACTCTGAATGTTGACAACTTACTTTTAATCTTTTAATTAAAAATTACGTCCTAGTTAAACTAACTGTGATTTGCAGATTTGCAAAGATCCATAATATTTCATTTATATAATTTAGATATTTTAATGTAGAACCAAATGTGACTGATCCATTCTGTAATCACTGAAGGGATTATATTGGAAATCTAGTCATTATAAGAAATGCTAACCAGGACTCATTTATAGCTTCTTAAGGTGGATTTGGCTATTGAGGGAAGGTTTTATATCTTTCTCAATTGTGTTGTGAAAACCACTATTATCCTTTCAGATAATTGATTTTTAAAACAAGACAACTGCAGCATTAAATTAACTGGTCAAATCACCAGCTGATCCAATTCTTTTAAAGCAGGTTACAAACTTCTGCTATCTGGATGCTTCTTATTTAGACACTAACACAGAGATAGGTATATTTCATGTTTCTGGGCCACTTCATTTCTGGGAGTTCTTTGCTTAAGTCTGATATGTGGCATTAAAGCTTTCACATTTCAAGCAGCCACTGTTTACCTGTATTTCATTTTATAAACAATCAGTCAACACATACTACATTCTTATTGTTGTCTATTGAAATATTTTATTAGGTCTCATCAGAACAAGAGAAGGATCAAGAAATTTCAGACCAGAAAGGTTTATCTGAGCCTCCTGAAGTGGGAGAGATGAAGAAGCATGTTGAAGGGCACCAGCCTCTCTTACCAGAGGCAGCAGGGCTGGGCTCCCTGGAGAAGGAGGACTTGATGGAAAGTACTTCAAACAATGATACAGCCCAGGAGGATGTTCAGCACTCATCCTCATTTTCTACTATTGCTGTACCCCCTGAACAAAACACCACATTGGATGCCACTGTCAACAAGCAGTTACACACCCCACCAAATGCCCTGGATGACACAAAGCCAGAACAAAGGGCACATGGTTTTACAGACAGCTTAGAAAAGGAGCCTCCAGAAACACCCATTCATGGTTTCTCTGCAATACAAGTACAGTTACCAAGTCAAAACGACATGGAAGATGATAAATTGCCAGAGATGGCTGATTACATTGCAAACTGCACGGTGAAAGTGGATCATTTAGGAAATGAAGATATACATAATGCACTAAAGCAAACCCCTAAAGTTCTCGTGGTACAGAATTTTGATATGTTCAAAGAAAAGGAGCTGCCCGGTTCCATTCATGATGATCCCGGTTTTAGTTACACACCACTACTCTATTCGAAGGGTAATCCAGGCATCATGTCACCACTGGCAAAGAAAAAACTTCTGTCTCAGGTCAGTGGGGCAGCTCTGTCATGTAGCTATCCTTATGGTTCACCTCCACCTTTGATTAGCAAAAAGAAATTAAACAATAGAGATGAACTATCTTCAAGTACAGCACAGGCTCCCCACACTCCCAATTCCGATTCTGTAGCAGTTAATAGACCATCAGTAATACAACACGTACAGAGTTTTAAAAGCAAGATTTCAGAAGAAAGGAAATCTATTAATGAAGTATTTAGGCATGACATATTAAGCAAACCAGATCCTCAGCGTTGTGATTTTTCTAAACATCACCTCAACTCTCTTGCTGAATCGTACATACCGAAGCTAGATCTCCAGGACTCCAAAGATAAAATGAGTGAGAAAAGGGCACTGCAGCATTCCCATGTGCCCAGTTTCTTGGCAGATTTTTATTCATCTCCTCATCTGCACAGTCTTTATAGGCATACAGAACACCACCTTAATAATGAACAGACATCAAAGTACCTCCCCCGGGACATGTTCAGAGATTCGGAAAATATTTCTACTTTTACTCAACACAAACACCAAGACAAGCTACATTTAAATTATCACCCATCTTTGCATCAGCAAGAAAAAAAGACTGTAGTGGAAGCCTCTTCAGATGATCAGCCAACAGACTTGAGTCTTCCAAAGAGCATACACAAACAGACTGTTAAGGCTCCTGGATCCAGCCTCCCCCATTCATCAGTGGGGCAGCAAGAAAGCAAAAGTATTTCCCAGTTCCAAGTTGCAAGCAGCCAGGCTTTGAGCATAGACTGTAATCCCAAAGCCTGCCGCGTTTCTCCAATGACCATGGCAGCATCTAAAAAGCATGGTGAATCCCTTCACAGATCCGGAAAGCAGCAGAATCAGAGGCTTGAGAATTTGAGAAAGATGGAGGGGATGGTCCATCCCATTATGAGCCGCAAAACTAGCCCCCAAACCATTGGAGCAGCTCGGCCTTTGAAACGGAGCCCGGAGGATTTGGACAAGGTCATTATTGAAAAAAAAATCCGAGCTGTCTCTCCTCTGCACTTACCCAAGGAGGCATCTACAAAAGAAAAGACTGCCGATCATGAGGGCGAAGGCAGCAAATCAGTGCACGGTCTTCATTCTGGCAGCATGTTGGAAAGCCACAAATTTCCCCTTTCCAGCCCTATCTTCACAGGCTTGTACCCAGGAACCCTCTGTGCAGGGCTGAACAGTCGCCTCCCAGCTGGATACTCTCATCCTTTGCAGTACTTGAAAAATCAGACCGTGCTTTCCCCGCTAATGCAGCCTTTGGCTCTTCATTCCTTCATGGTGCAAAGACAATTTCTTACATCCCCTGCAAATTCTCAGCACCTCTATAGACACTTAGCTGCAGCAACACCTGTAGGAAGTTCATATGGTGACCTTTTGCACAACAGCATTTATCCTTTAGCTGCTATAAATCCTCAAGCTGCCTTTCCACCTTCTCAGCTGTCTTCTGTACATCCTAGCACAAAACTGTAAAGCCCCCTAAAAAGTGTCTGAAAAAAATGTTAAGTTAGCTACATTCCTTCCCCTGTGATAATGTCTTGCAGAATTAGAAATCAGTATTTTTGTTAACCAGTATGCAGTCTCATCCCACCTAGCTAGGTGCTTCATACTTAACCGACACTCCTACTTTTTGGTTCTTAATTCTGGCTTCCACATCTATTTCCCAAACCATTTCATTTGGCATACTAGTTTTCTGAGAGGATTCACATATATGGAGAGCAAAAGATCAGAGCAAGCCAATGGAATTTTAGGACTTGAACCTGGTCTCGCTGAGGTCAGCATCAACATTTGTAGTTGTATTGAGTGAGCATAGAATCAGGGCCATTAGCATGTTTCAAAACAGGCAAGAACTCGTGATGAATCTGAAAAGGAGAACAAGGCAGGAAATGCATACAGTCATTAGATGTGCTTTTTTTGGAGGGAGTGGGAGGTAATTTTTCCTGACTTAAATGTTCAATCAATGCAATTAAGTATAGTCAAATTGCAATAGATTTTTTTTCCTTTTAACACTATTAGAACAGAAAAGTAAACACTGTTTAATTTGACTGTACATACCCTCTTCATAAACTACCAGTGTCGCATTCAGTAACATAATTTATAACGTAATTAAGTTTTGTTTGTCCAGTATATTCTGCGTCTTTTTTTTTTTTTAATTAAACAGGATCCTTTTATCTGCAACTTTTTAAAAGGCTGTGGCTGTCCTATTTTTTTTGTATGTGTTTGTAATTTTTCCAGTTCTTATAATTTTGAGCAGCTTTTTTGTCTGTGTTTGGCAACATTATTGTTTACAAACTGAGGCAACTGGTTCAGATGAATCTTAACCGACATAAACATACTGTAGATAATACAATGGTGCAATGGTGCAAACAAAGTTCCTTTTTCTCTTGTCTGATCCTGAAAGGTGCTGAGCACCTGCCACTCTCACTGGTGTTGTTGTGATGGCTCCTACATTGCTTTACTGACCACAGAAATTTTACTTTGCCATACCATGTTCTGTGAATTTCTTCAGAATTATATACTTACCAGTTCCTAGGCTATGAAACCCTCCTGCATACCAGAGAAATTCTAAAAAACAAAACCTCACTGGCAACAAGCTGCTGAATAACAAGTGCATCCAGAAGACAGATTTGTGGTTTGTAAGAATGTCAAGAATTTCGAATATTAAAACACGAACAGCATTTATTTTAATTACAGGTTTTATGGGTCCTGTACCTCAAAACAGAGATGGGCTAGTGATGGACTCCTCTACTAAAAAGCAGCCCAAAGTTCAGGTTCAGTGTGAGCAATGGGTCACTAAGCCAGCCCAATCTTTGTCATTCATAGAAAGCAGAATTCACTTGCATGTAGAGATCTAATACAGTGGAAACCCCATTCATGGTGCTAGATTCTTAGCTGGGGTACATCTTCATGGCTACCTGCAATCAAGGGAGGTTCTTTGCCCTAGCTGTAAATCTAGTCCATTGCCTCTCAAAGGGATATATGACCTATGAACCTTTTGCATTGGGCCCTCTGTACACATGCTGGGAACTAGTCTGTGTCCCTGAGAATAATTTCTGAATGTTAAAAGTCTATGAGTGAAGACGCTGGGTTTTCATAACAAAAGACCTTTCCTATGGCTGTATGTTCACTTTGAAGAACATTACTACCCTGAAGCTAAAAAAAAAAATGGATATGGAGTAGTGTAACGGTGGTATCTGACACTGAAAAATAGTTATGATTTGAACATCTCAATTACAATATAGATACAAAGTAATCAAAGCTGTTAAAAATAAGAATGGAAACTACTAAGTAATACCTTGCATGCTACGCATCTCATTATAATTTCCCATGATATGAAGCCAAATATGATATATAATATAGCATATGTAATAGCCAAAGGTGGAAACCAGAATAATATAGTCATCAACTGTTAAAGTTCCCGTGTCTTCAATTAAATACTTTATATTCCCATGGTAAAACTGTATTTAACTGATTGATAAACAGGCTAATAGAATTTACAAAATGAATGTGCTAATGCAGTTTTCTACAGTTCTACAAACTGTAGAGAAAATGAAATTATGAATTTGATTGCTCAGAGGCCATGGCATAGAGGGCATCTCTAGTAAAGTTGCACTAGACCTGAATCACATAAGAGTCAAGGGTTATGGGGAAAGTAAACCTACAGCAAACACAAATAATATGCCTGCCATTTAACGAGCAAACCAAACACTTCATGCCCTTGTTTAGGATAACTTGCACACCCTGGAATCATGCATTTGTTTACAAGTCTCTGATTTCACTTTTGATTACATCATTTTGGAATTTGATCACAGCATTTTAAAACAACGATAACACAGTGCAGAACTGGGAGAGTTTCTTCATTTGTTCCATGAGGAAACTAGCTGTTTCTGTGTGGGGAAGCTCATAATATGCTGGGGAAAACATCAGGACAAATAAAAAGAAATTATGGCATAAACCCCCCAATAGAAGCAGTGCATTATTTGTTTAAAAACTCTTAACAGAAATCTTGGAAATCTTTCAAAAGACTATTTAATTCTCTATTGGCTGAGGACTACTTTTTAAAAATTTCTTAAATGGGGCTTTGTTTGCATTGTTTGAGTTCAAGGGGCCTATTATTGAATACAATTGCACAAGCCTTTCTTTGTGCAATCAAACCTTTGTCATTGGTAGGTTTGCAAAGGAAACTGTGGAATCTAATTGGCAATAGAGTCATAAAACTATTTACCAAGAACCAGTTCCAGAAAATGTTGCAATTCAAATGCACTATGCTCAGGATTCATTTGAGATTCTAAAGGTTGTGAGATTTAAAAAAAATACCCAGCAAAAACAACATCCATGAAACTTCTGGTTACAGATGGAGTTTGACTTTAGGAAACAGAAACTAAAAATAGAACCTAACTGAATTTCTTAATAAAATATAGTTCTGGAAAAGATTAACATTTGTAAAAACTGCATTTTGCAACAGATCTGTTTTATTTATTTAGTTTCTTGACAAGTTAAGTTCCCATTTGTATCAGAGCATACAAAGTCATTTGTTCAGACTATTGACTTTACAACTTAATGAATTGGTGCATGAGTCCTTCAGTACTGTATCTTACTTTGTTGATGTGTCTAATGGAAGTTTCTAGGTGGTCAAAAACATTTTCTGTCATGTGCCTTCAAAAAGAACAGTTCATTTCTGTTTACTCATTGTTCTTTATGGTCACCTTTTTGGTAGTGGGCAACCAAGTCACTGATCTGATTTTACAACTGTCATGACTTTAATGAGAAATGCAAAGTATTTCATGTACACGAGGCCCACTACACTGAAACAACTGTCAGCACTTACAAAGATGTTTGCTGTAAATGTGGTTGATATTTCACTTGTTTTCCCCCTACCCCATAGTTTTAAATATGTTCTAATAATGGCAGCATACTCTACTAGCTGTTCATACTTTTTTAACTTTCTTTTGTTGTAAATATTGTATACTTTTTGTGATTCAAGTTATGTAACCTATATGCTCTGTAAGGTGATTATTTGTATATAGCAAAAAGGCCCAGTAATATTATATAGTTTCCTGTTTAAAAGGTTATTGAGTAACCTTTGCATTAGTTTAAACACTACCAGACATAAAGCTGAGCCAACTATAAACACTCAATTTTTGTATGTTTTCCAAATTGTACTTATTAATGCTTTTGATACTGTATTATGTGCCAATAGTTTCCCAATCACATAGCAGGCAAAAGATATTTTGTACTTTTTGATCCACTGTAATATTTAATAAAAAATGTTACTATCTGTCCCCTTTTGTGTTTGATTACTAGTTCTGTAAACAGCTCTTATCACAAGGGATTACATATTATCCTCTCTGACCTTTCAACCCTTTTATATTGGCTTCTCTAGAGAAAATATCCCTCCCTGCAAATGATTAGTTTAAAGAAATGCAAGTTTGCTTGGGGAGGAGGAGATAGGCCTCCCCAGTGTCCCTCTGTGTCTGTGTTCTCTTATTAAAATGTGGCTATGGTCAGGCTAACTATAAAAATAGCCTTTGACTTGATAACCTTTGTGCTCAGCCAGTGGCTTCCATAGAAAATTTACTCCATTTGCACCTCAGAGCAGGATTTTTCCAACTGCCAGAACTGCAGACTCAGGCTGGAATCTGTTCTTGGCTCAACCAAGAATAACGATTTCAGAGTCAGAAGTGAGCCAGAGATTTTGTTGATCACAGTAAACAACCTCTAACTAAAACTCACATTAGTTATATTCCCAGCTGATGCCATAAATCTTGGTAGGTCTCTAAGAAAACTCTCTTAATGAAAAATGCTAGTACATGGTCACATTCCCATCCTTGCTGGCTGGGAAGATCATTTCCTTCAGTGTATTTACAGAATGTATTTCTATCCCAGCTATATACCAAATCTCATCAGCATTAAGAGCAAATACACCCCAGTGCTTATGGCCATTTGTATGGTCCTGCTCAAAGCTTTTTCTAATCATTATGCTTACAGTTTATTAGCTTAAATGATTTCATGAGCCTTAGAACTGGGGTACATTTCACCCTGTGTACATAAGACACTTCTCCCTTGTCCCCCCACCCTGCCCCAGCCCCGTAAATTCCCAGCAACTAGCAAAAATGAGCTTCTGAGTACTGATGCTGCTTCATGCTAGGGATTCAGTATCATTTGCTGTGTGCCACTGTATAGTTAAAGCCATTTGGAACAATAAATGATGCTTTGTAGTCAAGTAGCTCCTTGCATCTTAGGACATAAAAGCATGTTGCAAAGAAATCAGTTGAGCCTCAGTCATCTACCCTATGAGCAGTTTTAATCAAAGTAACTTCCCACCCAAAGGAAGTAATAGAATGTCCAACACAGGGGGAGAATTGGTGTCTCATCTCATCTTCAACACCACTGAACAATACTGACTAAGCTGATGTCACCATCAGATGAGGCAGCCAGGTATACACTGTAATTAAAAAAAAATGCAGAAAACCATTACCATTTGTAGGAAGATGAGAGAAAATGCCAGAAAGGATGAGGAGGCCAGACCTTCAGCTTGTGTAAATCAGTGTTCCACTAAATGAAAAGAGCTTTGCCAACATGCTAAGAGTCGGACCATGCTATGAATTTCTGGCAAGAGTGACAGGCCAATAGTAATGCAGAGATATCTTTAACATATGAAAAGTTAGCATTTTATATATTGCATCATCTGGACTGAAGTGGAAAGGACCTTCCACAACTCTCCCTACAGGACATACAGATGGAGCAGCAATTCAGAAGGAGTTGTACGTTTCGTTCATTTGATGATGGGGCTTTCAGGTCAATTAAGAACAAGGCAGTGTGAAGAAACCTACTGGGGATAGGCCAAGGCTACATGCTCCCCACACCAACAGCTTTGTGGACAGAGGCTGCTCTGTTTTCCCCATAAGCTGATGCTGAGATCATATCTTACCTGCAGATTGGAAGCCCTGTATCCACACTGTGATGCTCACAAAGCTACTGAAGCTTCATATGAGGAAGGGTGAATTTCACTACAGCACACACTAGCAAAGAGGCTTACAGTGCTTAAATAATAAGATGCATGCATACACGTGTGCACGTACACACACACATGCATACAACTTTGCTACAGAGCTAAATCTTATGTCTGAGTTTGGCCCACTCTGGCCCTCTGGCATCTACACAGAAAAACCCTTTATCATGGGGCTGGAGATGTTTAAAACTAGACTAGTTTACTCAGCTGGGAGTATAGAGCCCCTCTCTACACATGTAGGTAAAGGCACAATTGGATTTTGGGCACAGTTGGGACTAGGAACTCCGTCAGCTGCAGGGACTTTTGGTCCCAGCTGCATGTATGGCACAGCCAGGACTGAGAGCCCCATCAATTGCAGGACTGCATTGGCTGTAATTTCCCAGCCCTGGGGGTGATTACAGCCAACCTCACTCCCAACCTTCAGACCCCCATCCCTGATGCTGCCCCTCACTCCTGACCTGCAGTCCCTGACACCCCCCCCCACACAGGCTATGCTGGTGCCCCTCAGTCCCAACTCACAGCCCCCCCATCCCTGCTGCTGCCCCTCATTCATGACCTGCTGACCCCTGGCCCTGCCGGTGCCCCTCGCTCCCTACCCACAGTCCCCTCCCTCCTGGGCCAAGCTATGCCCCTCATTCCCAACCCGCAGCCCCCTGATGCTGCCAGTACCTCACACTTCTGGCCCACAACCCTCTGCCCCCCAGTGCCCCTCACTCCCCACCCACTGCCCCCCAGCCCTGCCACTGCCCCTCACTCCTGACCTGTAGCCCCCCTGCTTCCCCCAGCCCTACTGGAGGGGGCCTCCAGCTGCCCCCATCCTAACTAGGCCAGAATGCAGCAGCTCTGGCTCACGCAGGCAGCAGCACAATGAGTGTGGCCTCAGCACAAGCTGGAGAGAGGAAGAGGAACCTGTAGCTCCGCCTCCCCGCCCCCAGGCTGAAGCTGATGTGCTGCGCCAGGTGACCTGGCTATGTCCCCACCTCCCAGTAATGTCTCTCAGGTTCCCTATCCCTGCAAGCATGGGAACCAGCCCCTGATGCCACTAGCCCAGCTGTGCAGCTCTCTACTGTCCCCAAAGGGCCCCTCCACCCCCTTCCCCTACTGGACGGGCAGATGCTTCCCCTCTCCCTCTGTGCCCTGCCACAACCCTTGCACCTAGACACCATTCCCTAGTGCTGGCAGGTACCCCTCCCACACCAATACCTTCCACCACTCCACCCCCACCCAGACAGTCCTCCAGCCCTGGCCCTCCAACCGCTGGCCCCCACAGACTTACCTGGATCTAGCTGCTGGGACTGCTCCCACCACCCTGCCTGACTGCATGCTAGCCACAAGCACCTTCACACACAGAGCACATGATGCTCCTGCCTTCACTTGCCCTCCCCCTTGTTACGTCTCAGCTCTGTAGTCTTGGGCAATCGGGGCACAAGATGCAGTCTGTCTGACTCACAAAGGACTCCCCCCCCCCCCTCCTCTACCTAAATGAAACTGATTAAGATGCAGTGAGAGACACACCTAAGACCCTCACCAGATAAGGGTGACAAGAGTGAATCAACTGCCCTAGGTCTCATTTACATGAGAGATGGAAAAGAGAAAGCCTGAAGCAGAGGCTGCAGTGAATTCTGGGACCAGAGAAGCAGGAGAGCGCTGCATGATGGGGAATCTGTGCTTCCAATGTTAATCAACCCATGTTCACACACACCCAGCTCAGCATTTATCAGACCAGTTCTAATCTGGATTTGCTAAGGACTTTAGGGGGTATGGGCAACATTTGAACAATGGTTAAGGGTTCATCACAGCATCCAGCCTGCTGGAGCCCTAATCCCAGGTGTTGTCATATCTTTCCCGAGACGACTGGTGGGAGTCCTCTCCACAAAAGGTTATGAGCACCCCAATAATTGTTTTAAGT